TTCCGTTTTACTTTCTATATCAAGAAGTTAAGACATTCTGGAATAACCGAATCCTTACTCTTCCGATTCGTTAACTCTTGCATCCTGCCTATTATCCTCTATTGTTCCCCCTGAGGAAAGAGTATGTCTAATTACGTAGAGTGTTAAAGGTTGTCAGCAGGGTAAGCAATGTGCCACTTAACCAGCTTGTTAATATTCTGGTTGACAGGCACATGGACTCATGTGAAAATGGGCTAAGTCCATTCTATCTACCTAACTCACACCCTCCCCTTATTCACAACTCTCCCCTTGTATCTCATCAGCCAGAACCAGAAGCCTATATAGAAAACTATATGCTCGCACTAGCAAATACAAAAATTCAACTTTACCCTACTAAGCTCATGTTCTGTGCAATAAAGAAAGCATTAGGCGTGATACCTATAACTTATTAAATAGTCAGTAGAACAACTGGATCTCATCTTTCCAACTCATACCATTTATAGGTACAACGTTTTTCTTTCTTTCTTTTCCTTTTCTCCCTCTTTTTTCTGTTATGTGCAGTTTTGTTTCTTTCTTCTGTTTACGGCAGTAAATATGCTAGAATTTACTTTTCTAAACACCTTCTAACACTCTGTTTAATTTTGGCTTTGCTACAGACATGCTAATATGCTGTTGTCAAAATTAACTGAGATTACCCTTAATCTATGTAGAACTTTATTTATTGTTAATGTGCAAACTGGACGCAATACTGTAGTAAAATGCTGAGAATTCCATTCTGTATCACAAGTACTGTTTTGGAATAAAGCTATTATCTTATTCAACAATAATAACCTACATCAAAAATACAAAACCATCTTAACAATGCAGTCCGGTAGCTAGAAAGTCTAGAAATTTTTCAAGTACAAAATACACGCTATATAACAAAATTAACTGGCTAAACACAGTCGTAAAATACCCAGGTACCAATAGGAATATTTGTTTAACAAGTTGGAGTCAAAATTCTGTCTGCAAGAATTCAACAGAACAAAACACATTTCCAAGGTTAGGCTAGTATCTACTTTTCTAACACCTTCAAACACTCTGTTCAATTTTTGGCTTTGCTACCGACATGCCAATATGCTGTTGTCAAAACTAACTGAGATTACCCTTAATCTATGTAGAATTTTAGTTATTGATAATGTACTAACTGGATGCAATACTGTAGTAAAATGCTGAGAATTCCATTCTGTATCACAGTTACTGTTTCGGAATAAAGCAAATTATTATTATTATTATTAGGTACGCTTTGCTGACGAGTGCCAACTAGCACGAAACCTAGGTCAAGTACGATTTCCTGCCGATTCCCTCCAACCGTCTAATATCATCAAATCAATGAGAACCGTGATGGTGAACTAGCTAAAATGGTGGCCACATTGCAAAACCTGACTGATAGAATTCAGTCTGCAACAAAGAAAGGATGGACTAGATACGCCACACTAGTTACTAGTGTCCAGTCAAAGTATACTTCCTTACAGCGTGCATAAGAATGTACCACTGGGGTGTGGGTGCAGTGGGGAAGAAAAAAACCCCTCCTTTAATAAATATTATTGTAATTTAAGTAGTTGTGTTCCTTCCATACCAATTTATTTATTGGATATATCACACACACAGCACTATATGCTTGATGACGAAGTTTTGAACACAGTCTATTATTTACAGGATTACATCATCAGCTGACTTCTAACCAATAAAATCCCTACAAACCAACACTTGAATATCAATGAGATGCTCACTAGCGACTTGCCCTATTCAGGTAGGTAGTTAGTTACCTGGGGTTCTAGTGAGAAGTCGTGACCAGTAGGGTGCAGCAGGTTGGGCATGAGGACAAATACTCGCCACCGAAGACATTGGCTAGCGGTTGCGCTATGTCATGAATTGGCAGAAGTTAGAATTCAAGGACCATTGGATCGGGTCCCAGTGGCTTAATGGTATACGAGCTCGCTAACCTTGTAACCAGAATGTCCTGGGTTCAAATCCCGGTGTGTGTGTGTGTGTACTGAAGAAGACCACCAAACTAGGTGGACGAAACAGCTGTCCTATACTCCAAAGTTTTCCAATGGTTCTCTAATCAATGTCAGCTCCTGATGAAATCCAGTAACCAGTCAACTAAATCCCTACAAACCAACACTTGAATAACAATCTATTATTGTTGATAATCATATCAATTGTAAGAACACAAATTTGAAATTTGATTTTTATACTTCTCAGCCTTCTATCCTATTTGTCGTATAGGATAGTAGAATATTATTCAAATGTCCACAACAGGTGTAGAATCAATCATATTGCACATCCTCGCAGGTGACTTGATAAATAAGGTTTCACTTATAAATCTCTTCATCCGTAAATGTTATACACAAAAGGTTCAAGTTAAAAAGGGTAAACAAAAACAATAATAATAATAATAATACTTTTCATCCTTACCTTGACACTAGTGTACTGGTAGTAACAGTCAACAGTGGTGCTCCTAAATCTATCTAACTCACAACTGGAGGATTGTTTTGAATCTTATGTTTGAATAAAAAGCTTTTCAAACTGAACCTTTATCTCTGAATGTTGTTTTAGATTAGACTGTTATGTACGTTTTGTCACTGAGTCCTAAATTTTGTGACAAAAACGTTAACTGATGGAGATTTCATCATGAGCTGACATCAATTAGAGAATCACTGGAAAACCTGGGAGTACTGGACATTTCTAATGAGAAGCCATGACCAGTAGAAGGCAGCAGGTTGAAGGTGAGACAGTAACTCATCGAAGAAGACATTGCGAAATGGTCGCGATATGTCGTGAATTGGCAGAAGTTAGAATTCATGGGTTAGCCATTGGATTGGGTCCCAGCGGCTCAATGGTCTACAAGCACGCCTTGTTACCAGAAGGTCATGGGTTTGAACCCTATCAGTGGGTGCGTACAGTGAAGAGTCCCAAACTAGGATGACAGCCCATGATGAAATCCCCCATCCAATCAAAGTGAACCCCTGCAAAACCAATGCTTGAAAAAACCGTTAATATTGATCATTTAGAGATAGAGATGTAGTTTGAAAACCTTTTTATTCAAACACAAGATTTAACACCATACTCCAGTTGCGAGTTAGGGGGAGATTTACGAGTACCATTGTTGGCTATTAATACCAGTACAATAATATCAAGGTCAAAATGAAAAGCATATTGACGAAAAGGCATAGAGAATGCATGAAAATAATAAATGTTTGGACAGCATATGGAAGGAGTTGCGTGATAAAGAAAAATGAAATTCAAAGGCTATTGGATTGGCCCCCAATGGATGAATGGTCTACAAGCTTGCCTTGTAATCGGAAGGTCCTGAATTCGAACCCCGTAGTGCCGATGATTCCCAAACCAGGATGAAACAGTAGCTGTCCAGTACTCCTGGTTTTCAGGTGTTCTCTAACTGGTGAAACTCGTAAAAAACAACTGATGTGATGGAATTATAAGTGTTAGTTTGCAGGGATTCGATTGGCTACAGGTTCAATCACGAGTTGAGATTAACAAGAAGACCACCTGGAAAACCCGTACAAGAGTGCTGGATAGCTGTTTACTCCTAGTTTGAGACTTTTCAGAAGTATACATCCTATTATTTCGAACCCGGGATCAGATCTGTTACTCGCCTACAAAATTGGCTGCCAGTTACGCTGTATTCATCGCCAATTGGTAGAATTTGGAATTCATAGATGACTGGATTGGGTCCCAGTGGATGAATTGTCTATGATCTCACCTCGTCGACAGAAGGTCCTCGACTTGAAGCCAATTCGTAGGCACCTAGTGATGAAAAGTCCCAAATTAACCGGACGAAACAGCCTGTCCAGTACTCCAGCATTGGTTTTCCAATGATTCTCTAACCTGTGCGTCGGTGGCAGAAGTGCTTAGGACTCTCGCCAGACCATGAATATGGTCCGGGGTTCAATCTCCTGCCAACGCACATCCGGTATCGATGGTAGGCCTGCAAAATTTGGGCTACCGGTATCACATGCTGAAAACTCTTTACATCTACTAAAGAAAAGGTATTGTGTGGAATCAAGCTGCAATCAAAACAAAAAACACACGTCGTAATCAAACCTGTAATATGGAATTATATTTTATCATAGAAAAAAAAGAAAGTTATTCGCCTTCTGCCATGCATTTGGTCCGGGGTTCGACCCCGGCCGGCGCACTCCTTTACCTCACTGAGCCAGAAATAATCCTGGTAAAGAGGAAAGGTTGGGCATGAGGCTAAAAACCCCATCCTGTAAAAATTAAACACTACTAGAGAAACTTCAAGCCACTAGCTTGGAGCCCTATGTTCCACTGGGAACGTGAAGGAAAAATTATTATTATTAATTCGCCTTCTGACTAGTTCGAGTACTCCTATTTATTGATTTATTTATTTATTTATTTGTCAGTAATTTATCATTTTGCCACGCCTTTTATTTACTTTTAATTCAGTGTGTTGCGTCTATACAGTTAAAGCTCCATTCAAATAATGAATAATTATTATACCTGGAATAATGAAAAACCGTGAATATTATTATTATTATTTTATTGTGCTTTTATTATCCATCATCTTTCCTTCTCCTCTTTGTCTTAAACCTCTGCATACAATTGCATAGGTTCATATGTGTTCATATGCTGTCTAAACAATCAACTGTATAATATGTGTGTACTATCAAGCAATAGAAGACCCTTGCAAATACTGTCTATCCACCTTCTCTACACTTACATTTATACAATGTGTAAGCATGTAGATGAATGAGTGTATGCCTACGTTTGTCTTCCTATGTATGTATGTATGTCACCCTATACTACCCATAGCCACTGACTGACTAATAATCAGACACAGTGAGAGAGAGAGATAAATTTCACCAATGTGTATATTGTATTGTATCGGTTATTGGGAGAGATTTACTCTGCTCCTCCTCCTCCTACTACTACTATATGACCCCACTACTACTATCATCTATTTGACTCACCTCCCCCGCCCCCTCCCAACTACCACTGCCAACAACAATCTCCTCGCATCCTTCCTTCTTCTTCTCCTTTATAATTCGCCTACTTTCGCCTACTTAGTCAATTTTTCAATGACCATAGGTCAACACAATATGATTATATTACACCTGATAATACACATCTGTATGTGTACACACGTCAGAGATACATTATACACAGCAAACATTATTGAAACAACAATGTATGATAATAACATAGAAGTAGTATAATGGTATTGGTTAGTAAATTGATTATGAAGGCACTACGGCATTAAATAATGTACTGTACTGTACACACACAGGTGAATTATCTCTTCGTAGCATAAGTTGTTTTAAAGATAAACATTTATTTTAATTAAATGATTCAAATTGTGTTCGTTAATACGTTGATTTATGCACACACACACACGCACACATGGCCGCACGCATGCACGCACGTATAAACGTACACACGCTGTGCAGACATGTATATACATACATGCATACATATATCTATGCACAAAAAAACCTGGTACCAAATAAACACTGACGCTAGTAGATGTTTGCACTAATCTGACACACACCAACACATCTACGCACAGATGCACACACCTCCGAGCTCCAACATTACAGGAAATCGTATCATCGCTTATTTACCATTATTTTATATTACTAATATTCGACGAATCAACCCGGAAAACCATTGAACATAATGTTTAATGCTATTGTCGACCACTGATTTATATTTAGAAGGAAAGAATAGCGCACACACACACACACACACACGGACACCTACGCACACAAACAAGCACACAAATATAAACTCAGTTTGAATTATGCTACAATAAAAACTATTATTATTATTATTTGCCTACAAAACATCCAGAAATTACGTCATAATTTACATATGTGATTGAGACGGAGGCGAAATGATTTCATCAAGTACTTTGTTGGCAGCTTTTTGAGGAATTCCACGTAAAAATAATTTTATTGAAATTTTCAATCACCTCAAGACGTCTTCAGATGCGCAGTATGGATTATAGCCAGGAGGAATGCATTGTGGATATTTATAATAATAATAATAATATATAAAGCCATTTGGATGGATGTGATATGAACTTAATTGACACATAACATACTATTGTTCCGTTGCTAATACTACTACTAATAATAATAATAACAATAAAACTCATAGAAGTGTCAAGTGGTCTTTGCAGAGGACAAATCGCAGTTATCTGTCTTCATTCAGAAATATGGATTTTGTAATTTTAAAAGTGAGTTGTTTCCCGACGATTAGAGAAATTTTATTTTTTTATATAAGACACATTTTCAAGTGTTGGTTTGGAGGAGACATTTGACTTTTGACCATGAATTGATTTCATTTAGAGAACCATTTGAAAACCGAGGAGTATTGGGTAGTTTTCCCGTCGTATTTTTTGTGTTCCCTTACGTTCCCAGTGTAATATAGGGAGGCTTCAAAGCTAGAGGCTTGAAGTTTCTGTAGCAGTGGTGATTATTATTTTTTACAGGATGCCAGGGTTTCCAGTCTTACTAACGGCTTAGCGAGGTAAAGGAGTGCGTCTGTGGGCGAGGATCGGACCCTGGACCACCTGCGTGGTCGGTGTGATCCGTTGCACACTGTCCAGTAATCTCTGATTTTCAATACGGCTGTTACTGAAGTCTATTCTTGGTCCGGCATCGATAACACACATTATGATACATTGTGCAAATAACTGGATGACGTTTCCAGTATAATTTATTCCTCAGAATCATAATTCAATGCATTCACATGAATTCATAATTTGCTTTATGTAGCCATACTCCCTGCTGTTTTTTATAACATAATTTTTCATACACTTGGGACGGGAATTGCGTCATTCCTGTTGCACATGTTTGCTGTCGATTTGATGGACAAGGATTTTGTGACTAACCTCTCTCGCTCTCTCGAGCTCTCTCCCGCTCACCGGAACCAAATTACAGGCATAACCTTTTTCTAGATCTTTTAACTTTGGCCAGGTCAATCATTCTAGATACTGTTGAATTCCTATTGAAATGTAGAAGACGGACCAAATACTTAGTAAACAAAAGTTTATCTGGAAATTGGTATGTCTATACAACCAAATTACGCACTTCTGAACTTCATGCTGTGTTTCTTTATGTTTCTTTTCACGTCTCCCATGCATCACCACAACGCTGTGCAATTTGCCTTCTTTGAAATAAAATGTATCTTCCTGCTATTCGATATTTTTATGCCGATGAACGTCTCTTTATATACTACTGACAAATCGTGTCAATAGCACTCGCCACACTTTATTTCGATAATCTATCTGATCCTCATCTACTATTTTGATCTATGTAATTGACCTCACAAACATTATAATGTATTTGATAAATTTTATTATCATTTTTATCACTGGGTCTATCGGATTCATATAGCTGATACACATTATTTCTGAGTGAGTTGGTTGATTGAAATGCCGCTCTGATTTTGGCTGTATTAGCAATCCTATTCAGGGCTTTTTAGTGTTCTTAATGTGGCAGTATTGCTGAAGCTTTAGATCCCTTATTTTTTAAAAATATTATTGTTTATTAATTTATTCTTTGAGTTCCAGTGGAGCATAAGGCTTCAAACTTGAGTTTTGAAGGTCTAGTGACGGTGATATTTATTTTTTACGGGTTGGTGTTAGCTAACCTCACTCTCAACCTTCCACATTTGCTAGGCCTACTATCGGTTAGATAATAAGGTTAAGGAGTAAGTTAGCCGGGAATCGAACCCCAGACCACGGAGAACGTGGTTGGCCAGTTTGCTAACAATGATTCACTGACGCCTTCATACATTTTTTGAACAAAAAATCTGGCGGAAGGTTATCCACTAGGTAATGTTTTCGCTTATTTGTTTGACTTCATCATTTAAATCTTCTGATGCATAGGTTAAACTCACGTCCCCATTTTAATTTATAGATTTTGATTTGGATGAGTCAAAGTCTGCGCATCTGTTAGAATGTGACAACAGTATTCTGTAGACGGTGGCATCTCTAGCCTAACAACCTGTGCTTCCTTGTATTTTGCATTTTAAAATAGCTAACTGTTCATACTGTTCATTTTTTCTAACTCGGAAGTGAATCTCATTCCACCTACTAGCGATTTGGTACTTGTTAAGGGTTCAGGGATATGTTCAGATTTAAACACAGTGAAAGTGTTGTCTACGCATCTCCACCACACTATAGGGTCAGGACTAGACCTTCCAAAAGTCTTACATCCCCAACTGTCCATCAATATATCCGCCACTACTGAGGATACTGATGATCCCGTTGCCAATCCATTTGCTTTTTTTTGGAACATTTTATTTTTAAATCTAGAAAGAGTAGAGTTTTGGTCATAAGTGATCATTGAATATGATTTCTCCACCTGAGACTTTAGTTCTATATGTGTGGGTGTGTGTTCAGACTTAATGTCCACCTTACACCTAAACAGTTCAATATGGAATTATATTCTACTAATGTGGAAAAATGAATCGGGCATACATTGAGAAAACGGTCGAGTGATATCGCGCTCAGTGGAATCCAAGTGGGAAGCGACAAGTGGGTCGTCAGTGTTAGGGTGTCATGGAGGAGATCGTGTGAGGAAGAGATGAGAGATTTTGGGCAACCGTGGATCCAGTTGAAGAGGATGGCAGAAAATAGAAGAAAGTCGAGATGTAATAGAGAAGATTTGTAGCTCAAGTAGATGATTTGCAATAAATAATGTTCTCTGAGCTGGTTGGTTTAGTCGCGAAGAATTCGTCATCGTTCTGGACAACATCTTCAGCGTCATATTAGAGTAAACACCAAAAGTGCCAGGGAATTTCTAGAAGCCTGGTTGGTAATTAAACGAATATGCGATTAACAAACACGTTAAAATAGACCAAATATACCAACCGATAAAAAGTAAATTAGGTGACCAGAAAGTTGAAAATCCAAGTCAATAGAAAATGATCACTACATATGTATAGATGGTTACCGGGAGACACAGTTCTATCACTCATGAAAAATTTAAATCATTTCACTTTATGCCAAAATTTTGCAGTGAAGATGTTGTCCAGAAGTGAGACGACGAAAGCTCCACAACTAAACCAACCAGCTCAGAGAACACTATTAACTGCAAAGTGGAGATGTGTTGTTGAAGTCATATGTCCCACTCGGAATCCAAGGAAGCAATCAATAAGATAATAGCAACCGGTAGGTTTCACAGCATGTTAATGTACAATTAGATGAATTTCATCAAATGCTGGTTTTCTGGCTCTCTGACATCAATCAAAGAATCACGGAAATCCAAGGAATAGTGAACATCTACTTCAGCAGTGTGCACTCACGATTCCACAAGATATCGAAGGCAGGAACTTCAATTTGTGAGGTGAGATCGTTAACAATCCAGTTACTCGGACGGGATCCGATAACCAGCCAATGAATTCTAGTTTCTGTCAGTTTGAATGTTTAGCTCTACCAAAAGTCAGTGTTATCGATGAGTATGTGAGCTCACAACCAAAATGGTACAGCCGACTGGTCTTGACTTCTCAACAGAACTCCAGACACTCTATTCTGTAGTCAATTTTTTCAAGTATCGATTTGTAGACATTTCGATTGGTTTTAAGTTAGCTCAGATGAATAGGCAAGGAAACGCTATTTAGGCACTAAATTCTTGCAAATGAATCAGCTCAATAAAAGCAATGCTTTGAAGCGGAATCCATACCTGAAGTAGACGGATACTTTAGCTAATGACAACACATAATAGTAACTATTACTCAACAGCACGCGTGGGTTTCCGTTATTTATTTGAATACTATAAGTAACAGGAAATCGATGTCAAAGAAAGGTGTAAATATATATTTTAAATAAATACTGAGTAATTTTCTGCATAGACAAGTAATTTCCTGGATTTAAAAAAATATAAGCAAGCTTCCTATTCACACAAGGATGAACTGCAAACTGACAACTTTTCATTTTAATTGACAGGTTCTATATATATATATATATATATTTTAATGCTGACAATCTAAGATATATTTTTGACCAGTTTTTGTCTCAGTGATTAGTTTTTGTCATTTTTTTCCAGACAGTTACTGCTATTATTATTACACTACTATCGCTTTCACTTGGTTGATATTGGCTAACAGTGGAATCCAGGAGTTTGTCTCAGACTTTATATGGGACTCTGCAGTTGAATGCAATTACTGCCTAGTCAGCGGTGATGTTTCTACTGAAACTCGGATGTAGCAACCGTTTCTAACGCCTCCGCGTAACCCGCCACCAGTTCGATAGGCCACATCTTTTGTGAAATAGTTATTACTTGTTATTCGTTTAGATTATTTTGACTTTCATGCTGAACGGTTTCATTGGATGGAAATGTTCGGTCTATGTTAACTTGTCAGGTCCTGGTGAGGACAGCGCATGGATACTTTGAGTGTGGGCACTCTCATTCACTGGAAGTACAGGTACATCCGAATGAAGAGTCCTAAAGAGTATTGAATATGTGTCCTGAATTTCACTTCTAGCTGCCATCAACCAAATAAGAGCATGTTGATCATCGGACTGTCCACGCCGAGGTACTGGTAGGTCAACAACGGAGACCAAAAGTTTCGGTGTAATAGGTTCAATCAAGAGGAAATCCAGAATAATGCCAAAAAAGTATTATTACTTTCATCACCATTGTCATTATTGCTATTGTTACTGGGAGTGACTGTAGTCTATTGAGAACAAGTTTAACGATCAGGTCAGTGTACAGTACGGTTGCAAATGAATATTTCTGTCCACTATAAAACTTTTAGTGGTATACTTATTTGTGTTTATTTTGTAGTCAAGGCCCTAAGAGACTGTAATATTTTGGTTTCGATTGAATCGGAAAAGATTTGGATTCTCTGAATAATTTTGAGTTTACACTTCTTGAATAATCAGCCTACATAGATGCTACGGGGTTCAGTGGTGCGTCAATTGTTCAGTGGGGAAGGTGGGAGGTCCTGGCTTACTTCTCGGTTAACAAAATGACTCCTAATGCCTGTTTTACTTGGCAGTAGTAAACTTGGGTGTTGGGCGACGGGGGAGGGGGGCTAACAATCCCACCTTGCAAAAGAAATAACACAGTTGCTACTGAAACCATAAAGCTTGAGGCTCGAAGCCCTGCGTCCCACTTGGAAGGCAAGGAGTGGAAGGAAGAATTAACCATGAAAGTGATTACAACTGAGAGTTAAGTCAAAAATAACTATTGAAGGGTGGGTATTGCAACCATCTCAGTAATTATA